TAAAAAAGCCGGCCCCCACTACGATCGAGTGCTGCCGTGATCTGCGGGAAGGGGGAAAGGCCTTCGCTCAAAGCTACGGAGAGCCCTCTCCATTGAGAGCTTCTGCACACCGCTGCTGAGCCAGCTAACTCCCTCTTTACAGATGGTCCTGGGCATCCGGCTGGACTCGATGATCTTAAAGGTCCTTTCCAACCTAAAGGGTTCTATAATTCTACCTAGGCCAAGCATTCAACAGCCTAGTGGCCAAAACATACATACCTTTTTATTTTTATATATATATCTAGATATGGATACATTACATAGAACCAATATATGTGTGTGTGTATATATATATATGTATATTTGTATGTATATGCTCCCTGTACAATCTGAACTGTGGCTGTAGGACAAGACTGTAGCCAAACCCCTAAACATCAGGCGACTCCAAGCACTTCGGGGCCGCTCTCCTCCCCAAGACAAGTGCCAAGCTCACTCTCCTGCTATCGACAGCCGGACCTGTGGCTCAAGCGTGTTCACTCGTGACACTCGTGCAACACTCCCGTGCCTCCCACCCACCTGCAAACATGCATGGTCCAAATCACCATCCAGAGAGACTTCATCAGGCGTGCACGGACCGCAGGCCCCAAAGCACCCCCCACCAAGTGCCACCAGCCAAGCAGGACAGTGAAACAGCACATGCACGGGCAGTGGCATTAGGTGCCCCTCCAAGCATCGGCGAGCAGTGACCCAACGTCCCTCTGTGTCCCCATCGCACGAGAGCGGAGCTTGCTTCTGCTCGTCCAGGGGCACGCAGACCCCCCCACCGTGAAGGGCTGGCTGCGTGTTCGGAAGGAGCACCCCGCTCCCAAAACAACAGCAAATGCTTCCAACGCACACAGCACGCACGCCCCAGCTTCCTACCTCGTGTCTCAGGCAGCCGAGCCAACGCAGTAACGAGCCTAGAGATCTTAATTGGCTTTTGATCTTATCAAAAGGCAGGCCAGGCTGACGGCAGCCTCCCCACATCTCCCCACCGGCAGGGAAACATCCACTGTGGGTGGCAGGACTCCGAGTAAGTGCAGGGCTCCATGTGTGCTCCCAGGCTACCCTCATGGCACAGGGGAGAGCACAAAACAAGGCTCACGGGAGAAAGAAACCTTTAACCAAGGCTCAAGGGAGACAGAAACCATTAGAACAACCACCTTGGGCCAGTACTTGTCTCAGGAGTTTGTTACCACGGTTATATACATACAGTTTGGACTGTATCTCGGGTGTGTTCAGGGCAAGCAGCGTGCCTGTATCTTAGGAGTCTCTACACTGCATGCCAAAATACCCCCAGCTTCTCTGCATCCAGCGCTTGCCTCATCAAGTTAAAAGCACCAGCGTTCAGGGTGTTGCAGAGAGGCGGTTCTCACCCACGCCAACACCCTCAGGACCCTGGGGTCACCCAAACAGAGAACTGACACCGACAGCTCACACGGCGACACCGCAGCCTCGCAAAGCCCTGGATTTCAACTTTTCTTCCTCTCCTAACCCCAGATCCACACAGTCACGGCCATTCAAGACGGCAAAAGGCGTCTTTAGATACGCTTCTGAACTCACCCCTCGATCCCTAACCCCCAGAGCACCGCGCACGCTGAGGTCCACCTCTCTGCATGCTCCGGCACCTAACGCAAGACCCCAGGATTAACAACTGCTCACCTCCGCACATCTCCCGATCCAGAGAGCATCCCTCTCCCACCACATCACAATCTTCCCAAAGCCAGCCCTCTCCCTGACCTCTCTGGCCAAGAAACGCAGCCCCACGCGTCTACACCTGCCCCTTCCAAGGCATTTGGCAGTCCCTGGTTTCTGCTCCCACGGAGAGCCCCTTTGCTGCTCCACGTGTTCAGGATGCTCCACCAACACACACAGCCTCTCACGCTGGTGTCCACCAGGTTAAACTCACGAAAGGGTTAAACTCACGATCCCAAAGAGTCACCGCATTGTCCACAAAGTTTTAGTCCATCAGAGCAAACCGGCTGCCAGCCTACACGGCTCAAAGAGCAGTATTTACCTACTGGGAAAGGGGAAGAGCTCAGGAAAAGTTAGTGCTCCCAGCTAGCAAGTGGGCTGTTTGCTCTAGCTTCAAATACAGCAACGAGAAAGCAAAAAGCAGGGGGACAAGGGGATACGTTGGGCCACACCCCCAAACCAGTGCAAGGGAAGAGGAAAACGATGAAAGAAGGTAGCAGAGACAGAGAGAAGGAGGGAGACAGAGAGAGAGACAGCAAGAAGTGAGGAGATACTCACCAAAGAGACATGAAGAGGTGCCAGGAGGAAGAGCTTTCCTCACCAGCATGTTTTGTTTCAGAAAAGCAGCAAACTGAGCTGAAATGAATCAGAGAGAATTACAGTATCACAGCCCGGCCCTGGAAGGGGACAGGGAGCTCCAGGCACACCACTGCAACCCACAGACAGAGATCTCAGAGCAGGCAGAGAGCTCCAGACATGACTTATCCAGCCACGGGGCACAACCGAGACACATCCACCTCCTCTCCAGGCAGCAGTATAGCACACCCGACACTAGAAGGGACATCACCCCAGCTTTCACGGAGAGCACGTCCCAACAGCACGGGCCCTCTCCAGCCCCATGGCCATCGGGAAAAGGTCCAGTGCCCAGGGAAGGAGAGCAGGCTTGGCCGCGAGAGCCACGGCTAGCTCGAACGAGCAACTGCACCGAGAAGCTGAGAGCAGCTGGGAGACGTCAGCCAGCACAGCCCTGAACAGCTACAGCTACAAAACGCAGGCCAGAAGCCACGCTGCAGCACTCCTGACAAAAGAAGGCGGCCACAACACACCCCCCTCCACAGACCCTCCTCCTGCCTCCCGCATGCCATCTAGAAACTTCTCCCCTCAACTACAACAACAAAGGAATAGATTTCTTTAGTCTGTGGTCTGAGAAAATAAGGAAGATCCAAGCTTCAGCTTCCCCCTGGAGCCTGCCCCGGAGTTAGAGAAAGACTTTAGAGAATGTAGAGGCTCACACTGTTGCAGGAGACAACAAGCAGCCTATGCAGGTCTGTCTTGAGCAGAGAAATAAGGAGAGAAGGCAGGATGGAGAACTATTCCCCAGGTGCTGATGATATTTGCCAGAAGGGATCGTCATCAACAAAACCATTACCTACACTCACAGCGTTCACAATCAGACTGAAGCTGCACCGTAAGGTTTTTAATCAGCATCTCACAGACAAGAAAATTCCACAGCTCAAGCTGGTTTCTTATTCAGAGCAGGTTTTCCACTGCCATTTGATGCAAGATGACTCTGTAATTACCCAAGCCCCACCGTTTCAGTCACAATTCAATAGCCTCAGTCACCTCCTGAGTACCTTTGGTCTCCCTCCCAAGCAGCGTTCAAGGATACAAGACACCAGTCAAGGGGCTCACGCTTGAAAAAGAATTAGAGTATGGCTACGTGGTGATTCGGTCAGCCAGAGCAAGGGAGAATCCTTCCCACTTTGAACAGCAGCCAGGCTCCACGAGCTGCGGAAAGACCATTTCCAACCTAATTTCAACCCTCCACAGGCTGCTGCCTTTTGGATGACAGTGACAGGGGACCCAGCTGTAGAGAAAGCTGCCACGGGGAGCTTGGAATTCAAGACAGGACTCAGAAGACAAAAACCCTACACATGTCAGGACAGATAAAGACCAAAAACCGAGATGCTAAGAGGGAAGAGGGCGGGAAAGCTGGAGGGCATTACCTTGTGCCTGCTTGTGCGTCAGGACAGTGTCCGTCCTCTGCACCTGCCTCTTCAGCAGCTGCGTGGTGCCGATCTGGCTGGGCTTCTGGATGGACGAGACAGCAGCCATTTTAGTCTTGGGGCTTGACGTGGGGCTGCTGGAGACGCTGGATAAGTCCTGCTCGAAGAGAAGGGACACCTCTTACCCCCATGTTTCCCTAAGAGGCAGCTGTAACTCTGAGCGTAGCAGCACACCGACATCCTTTTGCTGGAGCAGATCTATTTCTGAAGGTTCATTTGCCCCATCGCAAGCCATCAGTCCCTCCGTATCCTCTCACCTCCCTCTTCCAACACTGACCACATCTCTCGCCACATATTTCAGTGGTACAAAAGCATCTCTTTACACAACCTCAGCCCTCCCCAGCTCAAAGCATCCCAGAGAGAGCCCGCACCTCTGAGCCCGAAGGCGATGCAGGCACTTTGGCCGCCGGCGAGGCTGGCCTGCTGCTTCTTTCTGGCAAGTCAAAAGACAGATCCCTCCGGGTCGAGTCGCGCGGCTTCTTCTTCTTCTCAGCATCCAGGTCACGAGGATCGGAGCCCAAGTGGCTCTCTGCTCGGGTGAGGACTCCAGTCAAGAAGTCAGCTATCTCATCCTAGGAAGGATGAAACAAATAGTGAGAGTAAGTGGTGTGCAGGTCTCCCATCAACTGATCTTCACAGCTCAGAACAAAAAAAGAACGAAAGATTCCCTAAGGGACAAACGGATCAGACTCTCTAGGCTCAATATTCCACAAAAAGAAACCCTAAAACCTTACAGACAGACCCTGGTTTTCCCGTTAGAGCTCACACTCCACTGATTTCTGACACGTGGGAGAGAAACAGAATGGTTTCTCCAGTGCTCCCAGAAGTACTGCTTGCTTCCCCAGGCAGATGTACTGGAAGACTCAGAAAACTGCTCTTTGTTTCATGTGCGCTACCAGGAAGCTCACGTCTCTCCTCTTGAAAGGAGATGGCCACTTCAAAATGTCACTCAGGAGACAGATTACCTTCAATCCAACCAATCCTGGCAGTAAGGTTATAACTTGTGGCCACTGAGACATTTCAGCATAGATTTTTTTTTTTTTAATAGGTAGGAGGTGTAAAAGGAAGATTTCTGTGGTTACCTGGATGCACCTGTCCACCATACTCTGGGTCAGGCCTTCTGACTTCTTTTTGGCTTTGCTTATCCTATTAAAAAAACACAGATGGAAGTCAACAGACGTTTGGTTTTCCACTTTCACATCATCATTCTTCACCGAAGAGTAAGAATCAAGCTTACTCCCTTATCCTGTTAGACAGAGTAAGGCAAGCGCCAGCTCCGCCAGCTCCCAACTCACGGGCACCGTCTACTGGAAATAAAAGATTTATCCCTCAGAAGTGCTGACACAAACTTTGATGGTGAGGAAAAAGGCCCAGAGTCCCAAAGCATTTTGCAAAGCAAATATGACGTTTCCTTCCCTTCAGAGCTCTGTCTTCAGACTCAGGATCGGAGTTTTATGTTTCTTTCTTTCCTCTCCTTTACTGATTATCCCTACTACAGATTTCTGACGTATATGATGCTCCAAAACCTTGTCAGCGCTGCTGGGTCCAGCTCTAGCATCAGGCCAACCCTATCCTCATACATGACTTGCTCAGGTTTTTGGTGCAGTTATTACAAACATGCACAAGTGTAACAGGAGAACGAGCTCCGAAGTTTACTGAAACCTGAAGGGCTTCTTGCTTCCTGGAAGGCTCTCACAGCCTCCCCTACTCCAGTTCTGTGCACAGCCTCCAAAAGCTCCATATTCCAGAGCCGGGCGGGGGGGCATGAAAAAGCAAATACTTGCTCTAGTGTCACATCACACTGTACTCTGGAACTTTTAATTAATCGCTGGAAGAAACGACACAGATTTATCACAGAAAACCAACCCTCTACCCAACATACCAAGTTTTGAATAACAAAGCTGACCCTGATGGAGCATTTTTATGCAGTCCCCATCTAGTTTCAGTACCGAATTTGAGGGGGGGTTGTACACAGCACACTCAGATCTTGCCCAGTGTTCCTGGGAAGAGAGTATCCGTCTCGCAGAGCATTACCTGAGATTGTCATCTGCTCCTCCCACCACCACCATGCTGTTATCAGCTCGTATTTTCTCCCGGAAATCTTCCATCGCTTCGATGTTGCACTGCAGGGAATTCTGACCGATCACAAAGAGGACAGGGGTCTTCATCTCCAGGAGGGGGTCGTCAACATCCTGCAAGAGCAAGAGAAACTGTAATCCGGAAGGACGCAGAGTCTTTGGAGCCGAATACAGTTTTGAATTAGATTAGGATTTCCAAAAGGGAAGGCACTTGTCACAGGGGCAATCTCAGTGCATACCAACCGCGTCCTGAAAGAAGTATAAATTGCGTGGTTTGTTTAAACACCTCGTGAGAAAGACTGACTCAAAAGCTGACTACACAGTGCTGTTACTCATTAACAGCCGAGACTGATGCCCTCCCTCTCAGAAACCCTATTTCACCGCAATTTCCTCCTTCCAAGCTTTTGCCGCACAAACCCAGGATAAGGCTGAAGAAGCACCAACAGCGAAGCTTCCTGGGGTGAGCTCCCGATGAGATTTACACAGCCACACCAGTCCTGAAGAAAACTCTGCTCGAGAGCTGCACCGTGTTCCAGCAAACACCTCTTATACAGATTTCCACTGCCCTCAGAATTAGCCATTTCACTAGCACAACCATAACCATTCCCAACCCAGTCACACACTGGCCAGCTAACAAAGGAGTCGTTTGGGCTCCATGTAAATCCACCCAAGTTGTCCTCTCTGGTGCCAACTGACACAGTTAACAAGCGACCCGCACATAAGATCCCAGGAAGGAGCTGCAAAAGCACGTCACAGCGGAGACAAGCGAACACAGGACTTCTCATGCCTCCTATTGCATCAAGAATCCTACTAGGAATGCAACCGTCCCGCTGGTGGGGCACACCACCTCCAAATAAAAATCACACAGATACTCCTCAAAAAAATATTCCAATTATCACCAGACTTCCAAGCCCAATTCTATGAAACAATCTAGGGAGATTTTGAAGAACTAAAAAAAAAAAAAAAAAAACAGGCGACACTTGTAAAGGTGCAGCTTTTGGTCCTTACCCCTCTGGGGCCATCAACGGTGAGAAGTGGGAATCCAAGGCACACAACGGCAGTGACGTACTCCATCACTGAAACCTGGGCAGAAAAAGCAACAGTCAGCACCCTAACAGTCAAGTGCATCGAGAGTGCGAAGGCGGCTTTGCCAGGCTCCTGCCAGGCACAGAAATATCTTCTATATTTAGATCTTGCTTTGTTGATTAAAAGAGTAGGGGGAAAAAACATTGAATGACTCAATTTCTTTATGCCCCCACGACCAGAAAGGATGTCTGTCTCAAAGCTAGGCCTTGGAAAAACGAACAAGAACTCCTCCAGCAGAGCCTTAAACGCAACAATAATTCAAATCTAACTCTGAACTGAGGCTGTCAAGTGGGCTCTAAGAGAACGCAAAGGAACCAGGTACTTACGTGACAGGCCACCAAGGCACCCGTGTTCCACCCGATCAGGATGATCGGCTTGTGAGAGAAGTGGTTGTGAATCTATGGGAGAAAAAAAGAGACAGGGATGGAGAAGAGACGATGGGACGATGCACTGGGGTGGCACAGCACCTACAGGCAAGGTGAATAGTCTGAAGGGAGCAGCAAAGGCTCCCCAATAACGCTCGTCGCTCTTACTTACCTCTGCCACTTTGCCCCTCACCGCCCCGATCATGTGTTCCAGACACTGCAACACTCCCACCCCGCTGCCGTTGTTCAACAGGTGGGTGGCGATGGGAATCACCTGCAGTTTGCCAGGAAAGAGCGATAAATAACCAAGGCGTTACTGCGGACAGCAGGCACCAACAACAACGAGCACGGACTGGAACACGGTTTATGCATGAACTTGTGCTCTTTCCTCTGTTTTCAGCAGCTAGAAGTGAATCCCAGGGGAAAGAAGGAAATGGAGAACTCACCACAGAGACAACCTCTGCTACTCACCTCGCTCCTACACACCCACTGTATCTACCACAATAACTAGGAGCTGCATGAGCAGCTCTGTATCCAGGCAGAGGACTAAAGGGACCTGCAGTCTCTCTCCTCCAACCTCTTCCTACAGGGAGACTCACTAATCCTTAATAACAGTAACGATACAATCTAAACTGCTGAAGTTGGATGACTTTGGTGGGCAAGAGACCCCAAACGTGTCAGATTTGGGCAACTTCATCCCCTGTGCAGTGTCTCAAATGCTAAACGCTGCCAGTGGCAGATGCCAGCCTCTGCTTTCAGCATAACCAAGTATTCTGGTGCACCGAAGGCTTATAAAAACAAGCTCAGCAGCTGCAGCCTAGCACAGCCGCTAGTTTGAACTTCCCTCCTTTCAAAACCAACCATACGAACCTTTCCCAAGCAGGAAAGCTGTGACTGCCAGAATCGGTGCCGTCGAGAAGTGGGGAACATGGAGTTGGAGGGCCCAGAGGAAGCAATCAGGATGAGGGGGGAACCAGGCAATTTGCTCTACAAAGTTCAACAAGAAAAGCGTAAGGGAAAGCGACTTCCCCGCCCGAGACCTCGCTGCCCAGCCCGGCCTCCACAAAGAAGCAGGAGGGATCTTGCGTAGCTCATTAACTGATCGCATTTTCCCCAGCCAAAGCTACCTCGGGATAGTACGGGGGGAAAGTGTCCAACAGAAGGAGCCCCCCTCGTCGAGCAAGTCTGAAGCAGGAAGAAAGGAGCCCAGAAAGCAAAACAGAGGCAGAAGGAAGAGGACAGCAGAAGGATGGAAAGAACAAAGCTGATGTGAGACCAGCCTCTGGCTCCCTGCAAGCCCCTAGCGGTACTCACTGGTTTATTATGGGACAAGACACCCACTGCGGGGTCCCAAGGTCTCTTCAGCAGCAGAGACAGGGCCTCAGCACCCGCTGCCCCCGTCTTCGCAGTAGAGGAGAGCAGCATCCTGTCGATCAGGCTGGGAATCTGAAACCAGAGGCAAGAAAGGACTGAGAAAACACACACAGCCACTCCAACGAAAGAGGATAAAACCTCCACCAGCTTCCTTTAACGAGCTTTATAGAGGGAGAAGATTATAAGCGATAGCAAAGTCTCTCTCACTGCTTTTATCACCTTTCCTTTAAGCGTTTGCAGAGCATCCAAGTAAGCAGCCAGCACTGGCAAGCTGAGGGTTTCCACTAACGTCGTGTGAAGCCACTGGATCAGTTTGGTGTCCCAGTTCACACTCGCCAGAGCTTGGCGAACCCTCCGAGCACATTTGTCCACCGCTATCCTCCTCAGGACAGGCTCGTTGCAAGCCTAAAAACCAGGAAATTAAAAAGAAACACAGTTATGGGAAAAATCAAGCATGCCATGTGCATCCAGAGGCACGGGAAAGTATTGGCTCGGGCAGCCAAAGTCCTCTGGCAGCAAGCAGAGACCAACATCCTCGCAGCCAGGATAAAGTCATGCCTCAAAGAAGCCCAGAGCTGCCTGTTTCTTAAGACAACACAACCCAAAGGCCAAAACTTTCATCTTGACTCAATCGGGCTTTGCTCGGAAGGACCGATAAAAACATACAGGCAGCAACTTTGCTGGAAAGTGAAATAGGGAGTAAAACACCTTACCCCTTCGTTAGCCAAGCGAGCCAGTCTGTCAGACTGCAGCGCTTTGTGAATCTTATTAAATAGCTTGTTCTGGGCCATCGTCCAACCCGTCCTGTTGAGAAAACCAGAGAGGTAACGTAGGTCGCTGTTACGCAGACATCCAGGTCCTGCAAGCTGCTGCCCGTTCCCAAAGGCAGTGGGCAGCACAGCTGGGCACCGGCTGCGACTGCAGCTTCCAAAACCGATTGACAGATACGGACAAAGTATGTTTTGCTACCGAGGATTTAATTAGCAGGATGGCTCAATAAAAAACACTAGTTTTTAAATGTCACTAGGGCACATCAGCAAACATTCAAGCATCAGAAAGACAAGAGTAGCAGCAGAAGCATTAAATAAAATCAAAATAATCACTCCTTTTAGCATAGGTTATCGGCACGTTTCTCAAACAAACTGTCCAGAAAAAAACAACAACAAACTTTCCTTGTAACGTCACCTGGCTTGGCTACAGTTCCAGAGAGGGTTTTTTATAGGGTGGAATTTATGCATATCCTCATTTTCAGTTTTTGATATTGGAGTATGGCTGAACTGAGGATCTACATGTAATCTAAAGACTCACTGTCCCAACCTCCTCCAAACAGACGAGACGGCTTCATGGGAAGCATGCAGGAGAGGTTCAACAGCTGGGCCAGCCTTTACCGTTAAATCCGACAGCTTTCACAGCAGGGAGACAAGGAGTTCGGACAGGAGAACTCATTTTCTTTGAACATTATTCAGTTCAGGAACGTCACTGCATATCAGGTCACGCTACAAAAGCCCACACCACATAACGGGTGGCTGTTTAGTGCCCAAATTTCTCCTCTCTGCTATCCCTGTGCTACCTGTTGATGTGTTCCTCCCAGTCGTCTGGCGGCGGAGGGGCATCAGCATCCGTGCGAGCAAACATCACATGGCGCTCGCACTCGTTCATCACGCTGCGCGCCTTCTGGTTGTCATAGAGTGGCATGGGTGTGGGCGTCACTGTCTCGACATCGATGGGGATATCTGCTTCACTGTCAGGAATAATTACGCTTTAGAGAAGGGGATCGCTCACCTGGGGGTCTGCTGTGCTTTAAAATGAAAAGACTATGGAGCTTCAAAACCAGGTTATCTTGTTATTCCCCATCTGAGACCGGTCAAGCCCCCTGAATCCCAAGACCAAGCCCCTGAGTTGCAACCCAGAGCACACTCCCAACCCTCACTCC